AAATCAAAGATTAATCTACCAAACTGAAAACCATACGCATCCAATGTCAATCCAAGACGACCATTTTGCTAAAAATATGATATCAATTTGAGTACAAGAAGATAAAAATACCCTACCAAAAGATAGTGTAAATATGGTATTGAGATTATTCACAAGATAACGACACAACAAAACCTTGATTAATGTTGTATTCATTAACACGAGTCATGAGTTAGTTTAATCCGTGAGGACAATGTGATGAAGTTACTTCTTCAATTACATTAATTGTGGACATGAAAGAACCCACTTAACTATATATATCAAGTTTCTTCTTCATGAATGTGTTTTTGGTTCTTTTCTTAGGAACTCATTGATCATGAACTTTTATCCCCATGCGCATGTATATATCTCTACAGTGTAGTTCATTTTTCCATTAGTTTTTGGGATACATCATGAAGGACCACTAATTATCTTCTGTTTCACAAGTGGTTGCCAAGTTAATATAATAACTTCTTTTTATGAGATAACATGATAACCTGTGTTAATGTCTCGTGCATGGCTTCAATTTTCACCAATAAAATATGTGTACATATTCAATTAGAGGGAATCACGAAATTAATAATAAAATAGTGAACATGTATTACTAAAAAAATGTTCTTAAATTTGCAAATTATTCATTAATTTGTTTGACTTAAATTTGTAGAAGTTAGTGAAACTGATTTCTGAAATTAAAAAATAGTATAATAACATTTAAAATTATAAACTATTAATCAAATTTTTTTCTTTCTTATTATTTGATATTATCTTGTAGAAAAAATATAAATTAACAACCGTATCTGAAAAAAAATATTATTAGATAACTCAATATAATAATAATAATAATAATAATAATAATAATAATAATAATAATTAGTATTATTATTATTATATTAAGTTGTTTATTATATTTATTATTATATTAAGTTGTTTAGTTAGTATTTTTCATATTAATCAATTTATTTTCTTTCTTATTATTTAGTATTATCTTGTGTAAAAATATATAAATAGACAACAGTGTATTATTAGTCAATTCAATATAATAATATAATAGTTATATTTATTATTATAGTATTTTTGACAAATTGAGTTCCGAAATTATAATCAATTAAATATTTTTAACAATCAAGTTACAGTTTTTTCTTTTAAATGAAAGTTTATAGATTATATCGACTATTTATAATAGGAATGAATCTAAAAACAATTTAAACGGCGCAAAAAGAAGAAGTAAACTTCTTAAATAAATTTTTTTAATTTTTTTTATTTATAAAACTATTCAATTCTATTAACTTACGAGTTATGTTGATTTCTTAGATAAACTTTCTTATTTTTTTCATTTATAATATTATATAATATAATAATTTTATTATATTATAATATATAAACTGATACACCAGAACTTTTTTATAATATATAAATGAAATAATATATATATATATATATATATATATATATATATATATAAATAAAAAATTTTGAAAGATGGAGGGACCGGAGCCCCTCTGTATCCATTCCTGTTTATAATTAGTTAATTATACATAATTATATAAATAAATTATATATATTTTGTTTTAGATAATTAAGATTCATATCATTCATTATTTCTTATGTTATAGATTATTAATAAGTATCTAATTTTTGGTTTATTAAATTATAGTATACAAATGAATTTAACTTTATTTTTTTAATTTTTTTCTTGAATCATAGATTAAAATTTATTTTCTAATATATTATATGTGATTGATATTTATAAATCGGTTTAATGAGTCTAATCAACAAATTATTATTATTTTTAATTTTATTTGATTCGTAAAATTCTAATGATAAATAAATCGTTCCATGGACCTAATAATAATTTTTTTTATCAAATTGAAATATTTTATTTGATCCGTAAAATTCTAATGATTTTATTTTTCTTATATCATTATTCCTCTAACACTCGTCGTTAGACATTTAATGTATATTCATTGAAGAAATGTCACCGTCACGTGAATCTTAAAACCCAGTTACGTGAAACCATTTTGAGTAAATAGATTATTTATAATTTTATGGCTTATGAGTTGTGTCAAACCATATATTATATATACTATTCTCTTTTAATGTTGATAGTATTTTGATTGTTTAATTTTCATCAGGTTAAGGGTATTCTCTCTTAACTGTTATGATTAATTCTCGTATAGATTAAGAGTAAATTATATATACTCTTCTCTCTTAACTTCCTACAAAGGTCAATGGTAGATTATATATAATATTTTCTTTTATCTTACGAGAATGAGAGTATTCTAGTCTTATATACTACGAGAACGAGAGTATCCCAATCTTATATCCGTTATAGTTAATTATCATGTTAAAGGTTTTATCCGCTTTAGAACTTTCGTCGCTCGTAATTTTATCCTTAAAAAATCATCTCAATGGATTAAGATAAGAGAATATATATAAATTATTTTTAATCTTGATTTTTAAACAACGTAAGACTCATTAAGTGTATGAAATACTGTGAAAAAGTCATGTTCTTAAAAAAAAAAAAAAGAAGAGAAGAAGAAGCAAATAACATATAAGTTAATAAATGTTTATTTATTAAAATTAAAATCCTTTATTTTTTATTTAGTTCACAAAATGATACCATAGTGAATTTTCTTCTTAATAATAAAACTTTGCACATGAAATTTGTTTATTGTGTGGTAATGTATAATTCCACATTGCCATAAACAAATTCATGTTAAATTAATTAATTTGAACAGAATTAGAGATATTGGGTGCTAATTATTTTATCCATGGTTATAAACCAGTATGAATAGAAAAATGTAATGTTACAATTAAAAATATTAAAACTTCAAAATAACAATTTCTATAATTTTTTTAACATTCTAAATACACATAAAATATAAAATCATATATATAATTAATACGTTTTTGACATTCTAAAGATATACTAATATTTTTTTAACAACGAATGGATTAATTAACACTTTGTATTATTATTTTATATTCTTTAAGAAAAAAAGTCAAAATAGCATTTATTAAAAGCTTTTCATTGAGAACTATTTAATTATATTCTGCTATGAATTAATTGTTATGAATTTTATTAAACCAGTTCATCAGTTTTTATTAAATGAATTAGTAAACGGTAATTAGATTTTGTAGTTCAAATACACTGAAAACTAAATCAGTTTATTAGGGACGAATCATCAATTGCTCCATTAGGGTTTTGAGAGAATCATCAACTACTGTACAATTTTTGTTTCCCAAGGTTTACTTTTTTCTAAGGTTGAACTTTGGTCGTGCCCTAAAAAATATGATTCCGTTATTTATGCACTAAATGTACTACCATTGTTCTTGGTTCTTGTTTAATACATGATCTCACCTTTAATTAATGCACAAATGAATATGAATTAATGGTTAATTAGGTTGAGTGAGTGGGTATCTAACCTCTTAGTTGGAAAAATGAACCACATGCACCATAGTTTCACTTTCAAGTCATTATTCACCATTATTATAAACCAGAAATAGGGTTCTTTAAGTTATGTGAACAATAATAATACATGCTCTTAAGTTCCTTGCCTAACTATTTTCCCCTTTTTGCACCATGCATAGAAAAAGGACATAGAAAATTCCCAATAGTGGAAGGTGCACCGTTTAATTTAGATTTTCAAACTTATTATGGTGGGAAAAAGTAAAAGTAAACAAAATAATAGAGAGTAAAATGATTTCATTGATTGTTTGATTGTGTAAAAAAATAAAAGACTAATAAATATGTTTGTGTCTTTATACATATATATGTATTTTTTATAAAAGTCTTATTCTTTTTTTTTGTCAAGGAAAGAAAGAATATTGAGATGGAGGTACAAAATAAAAAAAAAAAATTGAATTTTGTTATATTTTTCTTTCCATCATAATTTTTTATCCTTTTTTCATAATACCAAACAAAGTATAGAGTTAATGTTGATTTAAAGAAAATTAAATAATAATTATTATATCTATAAATAATAAGATTGGTACTAAATTAAGATAGAATTGAATACAAATTTCCTTTCTTAATTAAAAATGTATTTTTTCTAAGTTTTTTGTTTTCTGAAAATTTTAAAATATATAATTCTTATTTTCTAAACCCTAAAATTAAAAATATTTAAAATGTTTTCCTGCATGATTATTTTGCCGTTTTTTAGTTATATTATAATATTTATTTAAAAATATTTTGGTAAGAGAGAAAATACACTCTAGGAAGTTCTAGCTATTAGAGAAAACGGAAGGTAGTATACTATAAGAAATTTATCAAATATTGATTAATTAAAAAAAAATTTAGTTATTATATTAATAAAATTATAAACTATTTCAATTAAATTTTAGGAGTGAATGTAAATAAAATAAATTTATGTCTTATATAGAAAAAAAGAAGAAGGAAAGTTAATAAATACAGAAAGTCAGAAGTTATATAGAAATGGAATTAATGAATTATTTGGCGTAAATAAATTGAGAAACTAATTTAATATTATATTTACTGTGTTACCACAAAAACAAGGAGTCAAACCTTGACCACAGAAGAAGCGCAATGGAAATAAAAAAAAAATAGGCAAAAGAACAGAGGAAGGAGAAATTCATGATTGGAGGGCAAATCAGACATTTCGCACCGACGGAAAAATAACGAAATAAATCCAAATGGCAAATGAAGCGAATCAACCAACCGGAAGGATATATAAAGGAACATTGGAAGAAAATCAGAGATCCCAGATTGGCACATTATTTAACGTTGCCACTCCCTTCGATTTCGGTCCCTCGAACCTTTTTTCATACCAAAACCCGAAACAACAACAACAAAGAACGAAACCAAGCCTCTTAAATCAACAACACAAGCCAAACGCTATCTCGTTCCGCCCAAACCGCAACCTCAAACTCATCGGAAACATTTAAAAAAAAAACGGAAACGACAATAAAGCTTTTCGACTCCGAATCCGACGTCGTTTTGGCATTCCCTTAGCGTCGCCAGCATGTCGTCCGGCGGCCCCACCACGAACTCCTCGAACACCAGCCCAAGGGTCGCCGCGGGGCCCACCACCACGCGCCGTCGCGTGGCCGAGAACAACAACAACAACATCAACAATGCAGTCGACGCGGAGAAGCAGTTGCAGCAGCAGCAGGCGTCGTCGAGTTTCTCTGATTTCTCGGAAGTGGAGCCCGACGAGACCTCCACGCACGCACACCACCACCTGCATCCGGTGATGCGTTATCTGCTTCTCCGCGCTCGTGTGCTTCTCTGCGTGCCGGAATCGCTTTTCATGCGCGTGGAACAGCTGGCGCTGTGGCTGGCGGGGTCGGTGCAGGGTCTCCGGTCTGGGAAACACGTGGGGCGGAGGATCTTTGCGGCGCTGATCGGTCTGCTGGTGATGTCGGTGTTCCTGAAAGTGGCGCTGCTCGGAAGCGGCGTGGAGATGAACGGGAAAAGATTCAAGAGCATCGGGAACGGCCAACTCATTCTGCAGCGCTTCAAGGAGGATTGGACCTACGCTCAACGGGTCATCACTGAAACCCGACCCGAACCATCCATGCCCAAACGGGTCCTCGAGAGGCTCCCGGTAACTCTCCCTCTTCACAAATACGTTTTTCTTCAAAAAGCGCTTTTTGAGTCTCGTTTTCTTCTCGTGATTGCTCTGAAAAATTCCATTTCAGGAATCGCTGTTTTTTTAACCGCTTTTTTCTTGTGTGAAAAAGGTCTAAGGAAAAATAAATATGGGTTTCATTGCTTTTAAAAGTGTTTGTTTGTTTGTTTGTTTGTTTGTTTTTCTGTATATTTTGATTTTTTTTTTCTGTCAATAGAATGGGTAAAAAAAAGTTTTTTTTTTTAAATTAAAAATTATTTACATATAAATTAATTTATAAAACTTCTTAATGTAAGTTATTCTTTATTTTCTAGAAATTATTAGGAAAAAGGTTGTCTATATCTAAATTATACCTTTGCATCTTCTCAGTATATCCTTTTAAGGTTTAAATGTATTTTTAGTTTATATGATTAACGAATTTTCTATTTTAGTTTTCTATAAAATATTTATAATTTAAAAATTTGAAATTTTGTTTTGGATTTGTAATATTATATATGTTATTTAATGGCACATGTATTTAATGAAAGTTTAAGCGAACATTTTATAAGAATTAAAATCAATAATTTACATTTTTGAATAATATATTATAAAGATATATAACAAAATGAAAATATATATTTTTTTATTGAACTAAAAATATATTTAAATATATTTTGAATCTTTAATATAAAAGTGCATATATAGAAACCAAAATGGTTAAAAAAATACTGTATTTGTTTAAAGAATAAAACGGGTAGTTTTTAAATACAAGAACTAAAAAGTAATGAAATGTACTTAGTACAAAGAAATGTGTAATTGAATTATTTTTTTACTTCATTCAGTTTTTTATTGTATTTTTTTTTCTAATTTAACATATGACTATTTTAACTATGCATTTTGATTTATTTGTAATTTAATATTTTACAAAATTATTTACTTTACACTCCATCACATTGCCTAGTAAAACGTGCTGTTTTTCAGCATTTGCTTTAAATATTTGAGCTTGAAGTAAGAGTATGAAATTTGTGCAGAAGATTAAGGACCAAAATGTGAGATTCAGGACTGGTGTGAAATGGTTTTGTTTTGGTTGCGAGGTTGACATGTCTCGAGAGATTGGAATTTGGACATTTTTGTGCCAAAATTTGACTTGTTGCATATAATTGGTGGCAAATGGCGACACGTGTAACTGTGTTCAATGTTGGGTACTGAGAAGGTGGCTCTGACAATAACACTAACACATTAGTGATTGTTAAGCATTCTATGATTTCTCACGCGTCTTTTGATTTTTCTTTTTCCTCGATGCTTTTCATGTATGTAATATAGCTGGCTATGCTACATCGGCGTTGAATTGTCTTTAGTGTTTATATTGCTTTTAGTGCTAATCTGAAGTGGAGGATTATTTAGCCAATTTTAGTTTTGGTACCATGCCATGATTCTAGATTGTTTAACACTTTTCCTTGTGAATTTATGTTTATTTGTTTTCTGAATAGACTCCAGATATATGGAAGAATCCAAACAGTGACAAGTATTACCAATGCGTTTCTAGACCCAGGAATGTCATAAGTACGTGTAGAAATGCACTTGATTAGTCTCAAGTTTCACTATGTTTTTTTACTTGTCATTCCTTATTATTTTATTTTCGTTCAGGGCCAATAAAGACAAATGGATATCTTCTTGTTCATGCCAATGGTGGATTGAATCAAATGAGAACTGGGGTAAGATAAGATAAAATGAAATATAGGATTATGTGTATGAATTTCATGTGATCATGTCAAAGTTTGCTGAATGATATTTCTATGTGCTAATTCTTAGAACCTTCATTGACTTGCTGCAGATATGTGATATGGTTGCAGTGGCAAAAATAATGAATGCCACCCTTGTCCTTCCCTCTCTTGACCATGATTCGTTTTGGACTGATCCAAGGTAAAATTTCCCATTTAATTTGCGTGGAACATCAACTATTTTATATGTTACCCTTTTTCCAAAGTATAATGTCCCTAATATATTTCAGTGACTTTAAAGATATTTTTGACTGGAGGCACTTCATGAAAGTTTTGAAAGACGACATTGACATAGTTGAGTACTTGCCGGTCCGGCATGCATCCCACAAACCTTTTGTGAAGGCCCCTGTTTCCTGGTCTAAGGTTGGAGCATTAACCAATTCTATGTGACGACAACATTGAAAATTCTGTTCTTGCTTAGTGCAATAGTGGCTTAGATGCTTTATTTTCAGGCTAGTTACTACAGAGGTGAGATTCTCCCATTGTTGAAACGACATAAGGTTGTACAGTTTACTCACACCGATTCCCGGCTCGCCAACAATGGCCTTGCTTCCTCTATTCAGAAGCTTAGGTGCCGTGCCAATTACCATGCTCTCAAGTACACACCGGAAATTGAAGAGCTTGGGAGGGTTTTGGTGGATAGGCTAAGAAACAATAATGAACCATATATTGCCCTTCATTTAAGGTTTTGTCTTGTGAACTTAACTTTCTTTATTTACTTTGATAAAAAGTCTGATTGGATTAATTTTTCCATAAACACTTGCAGAATAAAATATATAAGAAAACAGAATGAATTGAGTTTCTCTCTTAAACTGAAATTAACTTCAGCATATAAGAGAAGATCAATTCATTCTATCATATTTTCTTCTACAAGTTATTACAAAGACAAAACATATGACACATTTTCTTGTGTTGTTAATTTATTTTGTTTTTTTGCTTTATAGATATGAAAAAGACATGCTAGCCTTCACTGGCTGCAGTCACAATCTCACTGCTGAGGAAGCTGAGGAACTAAGGGTTATGAGGTATGATGTGAAGCATTGGAAGGAAAAAGAGATTGATAGTGTAGAGAAAAGGTTGCAAGGGGGGTGCCCTATGTCACCTAGAGAGGCAGCTATTTTTCTCAAGGCAATGGGGTATCCTCCCACCACAACAATTTACATTGTTGCAGGACCTATTTATGGTGGCAATAGCATGGAAGCCTTTCAATCTGAGTTCCCTAATGTCTTTACTCATTCTACCCTTGCAACTGATGGGGAGCTAGAACCCTTCAAGCCATACCAAAACCGTCTCGCTGCTTTGGATTATATAGTGGCCCTAGAAAGCGATGTCTTCGTATATACCTATGATGGAAACATGGCTAAGGCAGTGCAAGGTCATAGGAGGTTTGAAGGGTTTCGAAAAACCATCAACCCTGACAGGTTAGTCCACAAAATATAAACCACAAACTGATTTTATTTTATCTTTTTTATGTTATGTTAATAGAGAAAACAAGAAACAATGTAGGCCCTACTAAAACTTCTTAATGGAAATATGCTTTGTTGTTTTTGTTTAGAAAGAAAAAGAGAAAACAAATTTGATTGAACCTTACACCAAAATTGTAGGCCCTACTATAATTTTTTAATGTTTTCTCTATCATAAAATGACCAAAACTACTATGGAGATTCTAATCCTTTTCTTTTGAGTAAGTTATGTCGGCATTTTACATGTTACTGAGATGTAATCTGTTTCATAGCTTTTCAGATTGACTGGTATCATGTGATCCGCATAGAACCTCATTTTTATGGAAAGTAGCTTTGTTGTTTTTGTCAAGAGTGATTCTCAAATTTGTAGGCCCTACTATAATTGTTTAATCTTTCTCTATCCATGGGGATTCTCAAATCCTTTTATTTTCTTGAGGAACATTGTGTTTGCATTTTACATGTTACTGATATGTGATCTGTTTCATTGCTTTTCAGATTGAACTTTGTTAGGCTGATCGACCAATTGGATGAGGGTGCCATATCTTGGGAAGCATTTGCTTCTGAGGTTAGCAATTTACATTCCAATAGGCTAGGTTCGCCTTATCTTAGACAGGTAGGAGAGTCACCGAGAACAGAGGAGAATTTTTTCGCCAATCCCTTTCCTGGTTGTGTGTGTAACAAGTCTGAGGAGCAAATTACAAGCCATAAACTAGAGCATCGATTTGGTTCTGAGGCACAAAAATAGTCTCTTGGTTTTGTTACATAAAGATAAAGCTAAACCGTGTGGTTTCATCATGCATTATGACATTGCCTTAACGTTAAAGGAAAGCTCATTGGGGTTGTGGTGGGAATGTGCTTTCTTTGTCCAGCCTGGTTGATGAGACTTCTGAAGAATCAATGGGGCCTTGTCGGGTTCTCATTTCATTCAAAATATGAGTTTCAGTTTAGGCATACAAAAAGGGAAAAGAAAGAATAGAAGGTTTTTGTGTATAATCAAAAGGCATACCATAGCACAGGTTAGAATTATACTGGTGGGGATATTGACATTGACAATAGTACCCCTTTGGACGTGAGAGTTATACTGTTAAAAACCATTTGATTCATTAATTCTTTTTTGAAAGATGATTGCCAAATGGAGCATGTTTCCAATTTTGGATTGAACAGTTATTTGTTGATACATAGGGAATCTAGCTTCATATGTTCACAATAGATGTCTTGTTTATATGTTTATAATTTATGTTGTAACTCTCTGCCGTGAATCGCAGACTACAAATGTAGAAATATTGTTAATGTAGTTAATGTTATTATTATTAATTATTTTTTTATATTTTTTCTCGTTATTTATTATCTTGTTTTGTAAGTTAAAGGGAGGCTAAGATGCTTATATCTCAATTTTTTTATGGAAGAAATTTTTACTATTTCAAAATGAAACGGGTGTTCTTTTGTCCAAGACAGCTAATGAAACCTTTTACTTCTTCCACTGAAGATATTTGAGTACTTTATTTTTAATCTAAAGAATTTCTTAGAAAGCAATTCAAAATTTATGCAAATTTTTTTACATAGTCAATCTTGAAACTTGAACTTTAAGCACGGCAATACACTTTCTGAGAATTTTCAAGCATTGATATTATGAGCTTAAACTAGTTTTTCATTTTTTATAATAATTTAAAACGTTTTAAAATTCTGATATTCACAAAAAGATATATATATATATATATATATATATATACATATATATATATATACATATATATATATATATACATATATATATATACATATATATATATATATATATACATATATATACATATATATATATATATACATATATATATATATATACATATATATATATATATATATATATATTTTTTTTTGTTAAATAACAATTATAGTAGATTTTGAATAATTTTATGTATATTTTTAATCTATATACTTCCAACCAAACTTGAATATTTTATAAATTAGTAACTATTAACTATTCGACTCTTTATTATCATATTTCTAATATATTATTCGAGTATAAGAACATCATAAAAACTTAATATGACCTTAACCAAAATATAAACTAGAGTCAGATTCATCCTATCCTTTCATTTATTACAACTCTAGTAATATCGAATTCAAAATAAATTATATAAGTGAAATTTTGTATAAAATATAAATTCCATCTAGCCCATCTCATGCTTATTCTTAATTATTGTATTATTTATTTTTCTCTTATTTAATATTAAAATATATAATTTAATCTCAGGCACTCTAAATATTTCTAATTAAAATATAAGTAGTAAATATTTAGTATATATAATTTTATATCTTAATATACATATATTATTATCAACATTAATTATTCTTAAGCATTCTGTCTAGAAAAAATAGTGTTATAATCTATTGTCCTTAATAATAATATAATTAAAATTAATTATCAAGAAATATTGTTGACTTTAAAAGTCAGTTTAGTTCTTTATAATTTTATTTTTTAAAATATTTTGATAAGATAAAAGAATATAGTACATATAAATTATCCTTAAACTCATTTAGAGGTGAGTAGGACTCAAAACACACCTAAACATAAAATATTGTAATTTTTTTCTTATCCAATATTCAAATATATAATTTAATTTCACGCACTCTAAATATTTTTAATTAAAATATAAATATTCAATATTTAGTATATTTATTATCAACACTAATTGAATAAATAAATATAATATTTAATAATAAAATAATTATTGTCATATAAAAAATATACATTTGTATAAATACTAGATTAATAATTATTTTTATTTATATATTACTTTATTTAAAAATATTTAAAAAATATATATTTTTCTGAAAAAACATTTAAAAAATATATATTTTTCATAAATAATTTCAAAGTATAAATTATGAGATAAATTTATATATATAAATGAATTAAAATTTAAACCTGCAGGGTCTACCCAGCAACTAAAATGTGAAAAACCAAAAAAGCATAACAGAAACCGCTAGAAGGAGGGCTTGAACCTCCGACCTTGTGGTTAACAGCCACACGCTCTAGCCAACTGAGCTATTCCAGCTTTTGTTGTGTTCACTAGAATTTAATAAAATGATCATTAAATTCTTGTGTAATATAAAGATGTATGAATTGGTGATAATTTTTTTTCAGGAATTTAAATTCAAAAAGGGAATATATTATACTAAAAAAGCCTACAAGTTAATTACAAATTCAACTACAAAAACTTAACCATTAACAAATCCACCTTCTCAAAGAATCATCCGAGCATAGACTTCAACATACATATTACAGCTAAACATTTTATTTTCATGTACAAACTGAGCAGCAGCACAGGGCAAATACTTCTCATTATTGCACCTTTACAACACTGGATATAATAAAATTGTATGAAAGGGTCTCCATACCAAAAGTTATGTTGCACAACACCTTATTATTTAGGCATAATTCCTTCTACAATCTAACTCCAGAAGGGAATTTCCTACAAAAAGTTCCTAAGTTGATTACAAATTCTATGCAAAAAAGAGAGAGAATCTTTGGAGAAATATTGACAAAGTTTTTATTTGGAGAATCAATAATGTATGTTTCCACATATGTAAAGCTGGCCAACAGAGCAGCATGACAGACACCATAGGTCATATGTGCAAAAGAGTTGATGAATCAACAATGCATATTCTGATGACTGTTTGATGATTAATCAAATGTGGAATAAATTCAACCTCCCCCATAACTTCTTTCAAATGGATCTGACCAATGGAGAATATTCAATTATATAAAGCCAATCCTGCAAGTTTTAATGGGCAACAATGAATTTGAGTGGCGTGTTTTATTTTTGGGTATTCTATATGCACAAGTTCAACCTCATGCTACATACTGTTCACAAAAATGCCATAAATCTGGTGTGGAGGAAACTTATATCCCTTAACCACACTACGAATTACTTTAGAATTCTCACCATATGGTTCTCCCCTCCCACTCGATGGGTTAAATACAAAATAGTTTGATCGATATCTAACCACTCAAACACTCAATCAGATTTTATCAAAGGAAGCTCAATATTGCTTTACTGTGGTGCAGTGCTCATGTATGAGTTAAGCAGCATTCTTACTTCTTGATTCTTAACCCCTTGAAACAAATATAATGAGATATTGAGATGAAAGTTAAAATGAGTAGGCCACATTCTCCAACATTCAAATGTAAGCATAAATCAGAAATGAATGATGTTTAATATTCCAAACCATGAAACAAAAAAGGATTATATCTTGCTGCAAGCAGATGTAAATCCACTGAAGTCATATTCTCTATTAATTTAAAAACTAAATGAAAGTATTGAATTCATAACAAACAGAAATTGTAACACTAAATAGAAAGAATTCCAAGAAGCATTATCCTTGTAATAATGAGTCGGGACTGGTTAAAAATATAAAAAATAAGTGAGGACACATATGACTCTTGTAAACATTAACCCACCCACTACAGATCTGCATTCAAGTAAGATAACAAATAACAATAGTTGTACATAAGATAGGGAATATTTCATCTGGAATTTAACTCCAGTTGAAAGATTTCTACTGAGTGCCCATAAGTTATTTGTGGAGGCCTTCCCACAAAATAAAAGCTGGCCAAGAGGGGCATGTGTTCTATATGCAAAAGGGTTGACGGATCAACAATGCATAATCTGCATGATTTATATAGTCCATGGAAACACTCCTTTTCAATGTCATGCAGTTCTACATAATGCTCAAAAAAATGCCTTAAATCTAGTCCAATCTATGAGGAAACTTTAGCTACCAAAACCACACTGTGTAATCACTAAAGAATTCTCACCAGATGGTTGACCCCTCCCACTAGATGGGCGGATGACATTAAGGAAAGTGGGTTCATGGTTTTCAAAGAAAATTAACAGGACTCTAGCCTTAGCGTGGAATTGGTAAATCAGAAGCTTCCTTACTGATGTATTCATGGCTTCGTCTGTGCTTCCGTCGGAGTTCATGGTAAATTTATTCATGAAAAAACTTACTAATTTCAAAACAATGTCAAATGGAAGCATTGAATTATTAACAAACAGGGAATTGTAATAGATAGAGTAAAAATCTAATTGATAATAATATGAAAGCTTAACATATAAAATTAATAAATGTACAAAGTTGGAGACGATAATATTAGTTTATAACAGTATAAAAAAACAAGGTACACTTGGATCTTGTAATCCTTAAGCCACACACCTCAGAATATAACAAATGAACAATAGTTACATAAGAAAAATTTCACATCACATGATCTTGGTAGATTTAAAATAAAAAAAATACAAGGTTTTCAAACTTTCCACTCTATAAAGTGATGTCTTCCTCCGCAGCTTGAATATCTCTTAAAATTTTAGTGAAAGAGTCCTCTTCTTCTCCTTCGAAGTTTGAAAAATCCATTTGGGACCAGTAATCCAAATCTCCTTTTGAAAATTCAAGGTCTGTCAAACTGTCCAATGTGACGTATGTTTTTTTATATTATAATAAGATTACATTGCAAGAAAACTTCGTAACGAAGTTTTCCTCGTACATAGTAAATTTTTGCTTTTATATATGTGCGTACTAAAGCGGGGGATGAGACAGAATAAAAATTTCCTCTCATCCTTCTTCTTCTTTTATCTAAATTTCAAGCAACGATACTATACTCCTGCAGGATCTGGTGAAATAGGAGAGAATTTGAATTAAGTGGAAAAATTTCGGTAGAAATACCATACAAGGTAAGGGGAAGTTTAATTCATTCAATATATGAAATTGAATTGCTGGGTACTTTGTGAATAAGGAATAGGAGTAGAGATATGAATTATTTGAATGTCCGATTTTGAAGAATTTCTTATTCGATGAACTGTTCACCGTATGAAGTTTTTTTTGAAATTCTTGAAATTAAAGATGAATTATATAATAAAATTGTTGTTTTTAACTTAAATTGAACATGTTTATGGTTTAATTTTGATTTGGAACTAATTTGGGTGATTGAAACTGAGAAATTTGAAACCTAGATTTTGAAAATGGCGTACTGGAGGTGATTACTATTCATATTTTACAAAGTTTTAAATATTGATGAAATTCTTGAAATTAAGGATGAATCATATAGTAAAATTGTTGTTTTTGACTTAATTTGGACATATTGCATGTTTAATTTTGATTTAGAACTAATTTGGGTGCTTTAAACTGAGAATTTGGAAAATCTAGATTTTAAAAATGGCTTCCAAGGAGCGAGGAAGAAGAAAGGGACATGGATGTAATTTTTGAAAATGTTCAAGGGTAAAATAGTCATTTTACATCGTAGGGACACAAAAGGAATTTTTGAAAATGTTTAAGCGTAAAATAGTCATTTTACATCCTAGGGACATAAATGGAATTTTTGAAAATGTTCAAGGGTAAAATAGTCATTTTCGGGACATGGAAGGAATTTTCGAAAATGTCCAAGGGTAAAATAGTCATTTAGGGACATACATGGAATTTTAAGAAAAGATTAAGGGCAAAATAGTAATTTAATGATTTTGGAAATGATTTCGAAAATAGTTTCGGAAATAGTTTCGGAAATGATTTTAGAAAAATATATATATAAAGAGAGAGAGAGAATGAAAGTAGTGTGTTGTGACGTGTGTGGGTCAGACTGAGCTTGAGGGCTGATGCCCAGAATCAGTCATGAGACGTTATATATTGGCTAGACTGAGCTGGAGGGTTGGTGCCAGAATCAGTCAAATACTATTTTTATTGACCCGAATGAGCCGTGAGGACAGGTGGTCCAGAATCCGGCAAATGTGAATAATTTTTGTTATGTTTGAATGGTACCCGGGGTGGTACAAAGTACATTAGTGTAATAACTATGTCGGAGGATTCTGAATGAGGTCCTAGACTTCACTGATTGATCGGGTCAGGTAGACTACGAGATTAAGTGGTGAGAAGTCGATGGGGGGATGACTGGTGGCGCGCTCAGAGGGGTACTCCAGTATGAGTGATGAAGGGCACCAGTATGAGTGATGAAGGGCGCCAGTAATCCTACTCTGTGTGGAGGGTGGTCAAAATGGTACTGCGGGTACCGATCACAATGTGCCCACAGATGATAGCCTCTGAGTTCGGGCATAGTTAGGGTATACTTCCGGAAGGTGTCTTAATGTATTCATAATTTCGTAATTGATCATAATATATAATTATTACTTCTATATCTGTTTTATTATATCGAATGATTTAATACTTACCCCTATTTTTCCATGTGGATGAGACTGCGATGATCACTTTTATGTGTGAGCAGATCAGGAGTTGAGAGATGGAGATGTGACTACTGGACAACAGGGATAGTTCAGTGGGATAGCTTCGAGGGAGCTACTTTTACATGTATAATATATAAATAAATTATGTTACTATATTTTGAAGTTCCGTTAGTGAACCGAAATTTCAATCTATGTTACAATTACAGTAATATAATGTAAAATAGATGTTGTTATTTACTTGTTTACTACTTTGCGAAGACATCATTATAGTAGCGATTTCTAGGGTCGTTACAATAATGGTATAAGAGCGGTAGTATCCTTGTAAATCTGTGGGGATGGGTAGTGAACCTATGATAAGTCCATTGTGATTATACTCTGATATGTAAGTGTGTGTGAATGTTTGATCTGTATTGATGGTTGCGTTTGATATAGGATGGCACCGCGACCTCCTACTCCTACTCCTACTCCTACTCCTACTCCTACTCCACCGAGTGTAGATGCCCTAGCTAGGGCAATGGAAATGTTGGCAACTGCTATGCAGCAGCAGGCTACCTACCCACAGTGGAGGCCAACTATAGCATGATCCTCTGCTGGATTTCACCAATCAGAGCAGATGGGGCTGACTGAGTTCATGAGGCATAATCTGCCTCGTTTTGGAGGAGATTTGGGTCCAGATGCAACAGAGAAGTGGCTGCGTGAAGTGGAGAAGATTTTTGAGGCTACCTTATGTCTGGAAGACAGGAAATTGACATTCGGGAAATACTTACTAGTGGATGAGACTGAGTTCTGGTGGTCAAGGACTCAAAGGATGATGATTGCACGTGGGGAGGTGTGTAATTGGAAAACCTTCCGTGAGAAGTTTCTAGAGAAATACTTCCTTGACAGTGTTAGATTTCAGAAGGAGACTGAGTTCCTGAGTCTGAGACAGGATAATATGACGGTGCATGATTACGCCATACGATTTGAGCACTTATCTCATTTCTACACAAGTACATCTTCAGAACAGTGGCTTTGCAGGAAGTTTGAGGAGGGCTTGAGGGGTGAGATCAAGCTCATGGTGGTTCCTTTCTCTATCAGGAGATTCCCAGAACTGAAAGTGATCCTAGCAAAGATCTCATTGATTTGATGAAGTCAAAGATAAAGTCAAGGGTCAACTCTGCAGCAGTCAAACAAGTCACTCAGAAGAATGGAGCTGAAGACTTAGTGTGTCTTAACAGAAAGCTTAGGTAAAACCACTTTACCTTTTCCACTGCATAAAGCTTCTTCACTCAATTTGCAAAATGCCTCAAAAATAGTTTTTAACAAATCAAACAAAAGCATTTTGACAAAGAACTTTCTTAACAATGTTTTTAACTGATATAGTTTTAAAAGAGACAATTAAAATCACTTAGAATGCGTAAAGAAGTGTTTTTACAATATTTTAATCGATACAAACTTCTTTTAATCGATTAAAACTCTTTATGACCGATTAGAATTCGAATATGACAGGTCAGAATGAAATATAATCAATCAGATTTTAAATATGAGCGATCAGATTGCTTTTAATCGATTAAAACACGTTTTAATCGATTAAAACCACTTTGGAAGATAGGATGATCGATCAGAATGAAATTATGACCGATCAGAGTTGGTTATGATCGATCAGAATTGAATTATGACCGATCAGACTTATTTCAATCGATTAAAACGAATTTCAATCGATTAAAATGACTTGAAAATTTTTGTACAGAGTTTCAATCGATTAAAACGCATTTCAATCGATTAAAATAACTTGGAAAATCTTTGTACAGAGTTTCAATCGATTAAAACGTATTTCAATCGATTAAAATAACTTAGAAAATCTTTTCAATCGATTAAAATGAACTTTCAATCGATTAAAATGACTTGAAAATATATGTGCAGATTTTCAATCGATTAAAACGACTTTATATCAGCTAAAATAACTTGGAAAGTTTTATAAGAAGGTTTTTAAACAAATCAATCGATTAATACGCGATTCAATCGATTGTTTTATACTTAGAAAATGTTTGTAAAATGTTTTAACTGATATAAACATGGTTGTATCAACTAAAACCATTCTGTTAAAGAAATAAGAACGCATTAATGGGTTGAAAGGACTTTTAACAGATTATAACGGCTATTTCAACAGATTAAAACAAACTTTCAACAGATTAATTAATGCAGCAGATTTGAAAATTCTCTTTAAAAACAGTTTTGCTTGAAACTTTGAAACAACAGATTGAATATCAGTTTTTACAGAAACAAAGCAATCAATCAAGCAACTAGAGCACTTTTTCCAAGAAAGAATTACAACTATTTTGTGAAGTTATTTTTGAAATCTTTCTTGAGGCATATTGCATCCTTGAAGAAGAAACTTACTGTGGATTAGCGTAATCCGGTTTGAGCTTTCTTGTTTCTTCTTTGTAAATTCATTTTCATTACTTTGTATTGTGTTTGTGCCTGGAATTTGGGCACAAGTTTTCTCTCTAGCTTGGAAGTTGGTTGTGGAGGTTATCAAGAACTGGAATTTGGTTCTTGGTAAGAGGTTGAGCACAGGAGCTGGAATTTGGTTCTTGTGTGTGGTGCCTGGAATTTGGGCACTGGTTTCTCTGCAGCTGGAATTTGGTTGCAGAGGTTATCAAGAGCTGGAATTTGGTTCTTAGTGGAGAGGTTGAGTACAGGAACTGGAATTTGGTTCTTGTACTGTTTGGTGCCTGGAATTTGGGCACTGGTTTCTCTGCAACTGGAATTTGGTT